AATAGAAGTTAAAGAAGAAGGAAAAAGAAATTAAAAATTAAAAAAAAAAAAAAAAAAAAAAAAAGAAAAGAAAAAAAAAAGAGAAAAAAAAAAAGAAAAAAAAAAGAAGAAAAAAAGAAATATAAAATAAAATAAAATAAAATTATCAGTTTAGTGACGATGATACCAAAGCGAAGATTTGTTTTGTATTCCCCACAGGATAATGGAAAATCGAAAGTTAAAAAAACATCATTGTAAGCTGCAAGAAGCACTGCTCTCGTTAAACCGGTACGGCCCCCTCACGTTCTTTTTCCTGTTGTCGCACAGCAACAGCTGCCTCAACCAGCAAGTAAAGACACTTGAACTTGTCTTTATCCTCTTCAGGTGGTGTTGGAGGTGGCGTTTCATCTGTATGTGGGCTGTGAGTCTTACGTGTACTATATACTTCTGTTTCATGTTGTACATCAGAGGTTTGAATAAGGTGCTGTCTAGGCGCGCTCCAATATGCAGCTTCATTTCCCATGGAAGATTCATCATCATCTCTAAAAAGAGTAAAAGAAAGATGAAGAAAAAAAAAAAAAAGAAATTAATTAAATTTGTAATGCCTAATAATAATAAGATATATCATTAGGAATTTATGGAATAATAATAATACGTTTATAATATATTAATTAATTGCCTAAAAATATTACTTACCCACGCCGCGCCGGATGCGTAATCGTTTCGTCATAAGGACCAAGTTGACTAACATTTTGTTCAATTTTAGCTTCCGAATAAGGATAGACTATTACACTTGGCCACTGTGTTGATGGACGTTCCTCTTCGCTATGAGAACTGCTCTCATAATCGTTTGGACTGTCTTCTTCGCTTCTATACACACGCATACATAATACACAAATATATATATATATATATATAGAATGAAACATGAAATGCTTTTTTAAAAATACGTTTGTTGATCAATTGCTATAAAAAAATATAATGATATAATATATCCTTAAAATATAAATTGTAACGAACCTATACATTAATCCAGCATGATCTTCATAATCATGATCTCTACTACGTTTTGGAGCGCTCATACCAGCTAACGAATCCCAATTTTGATTAGATCTTGAATTAAGACTGGATGATTGTTGATGATTTCCTGCAGGCATCTTTTTACCACGACGAGATATTGTATACTGCAAAGGATCATGACCTTCTCTTCGAATCATTTCTGGTAAAATTCGTCGTCTGGCATTTATGAACCAATTGCAAACCTACAATATAATAAAGATTTAATAATGTATAATGGTAATAATGGTAATCTTTATTATTGATATCTTAAAAAAGAGAACAAAATGTAAAGAGGTAAAACAGAAATATCGACAAAATTTGTATCAACCTGGAGTACAGTCAAATTTGCTTCTTGACTCAATGTCAGCTTCTCGCTGTCGCTTGGATACGCGTTGTATCTGTGCTCGTAAAGCCATCGTTTTAGAATCTTCACCGAATGCTTTGGTAAATTTCCTCGACGTTTTCGCACCGAATGAGTACCAGAATGATGAACTATTCCAGAGTGAACTTTAGAGCGCAATGCGTTCGAGTCATGTTCCGTATCAGAACCGCTTTGATCATCATCAGTACTACTCGATGAAGGAAAACGTTCTCTTGCTGAAACAATAAACGTTGAATTAAATTTATATAATTTATCGTTATATAATATTTATTATTTTTGCGTGCTTTTTTCCTTTGTTATTCCATATCGTCTATCCGTTTATCTTTTCGCTATTTCTGCACTTATTAGCAGTATACAATACAATAATAATAAGCCATGAATAACAATATGATTGACATAATATTGATTTTAAATTTTTTTTTTTTTCGCACTTTATTATTCTATATATTTTATATTTTACGCTTATACTTCGGATAACTATATTAAACATTATAAACATTCTATGTATTTTTATTCATTACATATTATTACGTTTCATTAATAATTCTATCCTAATTTATATAATCATTTATTATTTAATATTATTTAGAATTTGGACAGATATTTATAATTTGTTTTTGTTAAACATAATATTATCCTTATGTGTAATGCAACTAAAGAATATATCAATGATAAACCATAATTAATTAAACCAATAGGGGAAAAAGTTTATATTTCAATTTGAATATATCTTTGTTTCTAAAATTTTCTATTTTTAATTTTGTATTTTTAAAATTGTATTTTTGTTAAAAGATTTTTATTCTCAATTTCATGTAAAAGACAAAAAAAAAAAAATGTAATAATAATTTTGTGTTACAGCGCTTTTTAAAGAATTCAATAATAAGGATAACTTATGGAATATATATTGAATAATATATTATTTTCAATGGAAATTGCATCATGTGAAAAAATTTACCACTGAAAATTTATTCAGAGATAAAAAAAATTATATTATTTTATTAATGAAACTTATCGACACATTGATCCATATCGACATTTGAAATACAAAAAACAAGACTAACAAGATCGTTTTTTAAAAACATACATGAAATCATTGCAAACGAATGAGATACTATAAATAATATTTAATTTTGTCTCACGAATTTCGTTTTCCATTGCATTGCTTTTCGTTCTGAATATCTAAACAATATAAAAGTATTTTATTTCCTTCACTGTTATCTTTCAAGTAAATATATACATATATATATATATATATATATAAAACTAGTAATTTTACGTAAATCTATACGCCCGGGAACTAAGTATGCGATCCTGGTTAGTTTGCACCGTTGACTAATCTTAGCATTTGAATCTGTAGTTACGTAAGGTCCAGTAACCCGACGGCATAAAATTAGGAGCTCCTCACAGCTAAACGAAAACTATGACGATGTCGAGTGTCACAATGGGGATGGAAGTGATAGCGGCAACGACTACGACGGCGACGACGGCGACGACGACGACGACGACGACGACGACGACGACGACGACGACGACGACGACGACGACGACGACGACGACGACGACGGCGGCGGCGGCGGCGGCGGCGAAGACGACGACGACGATAAAAAGATGGTAATCAAAGCATAACAAAATTATATCTAATATTTTTTATCGGTTCGATAGAATGAATTGCTAAAAAAAAATTGCTACCCAATGACCTTAGTTTGGTCGGTATATGAAACAGTTTCTTCATTACATTGAGCTAAATATAACGAGTTACTAGCGAGTTTACAGTTGCATTTTACATTCTAATGGGATACAACGTTATTTTACAATTTAGTATCATCTTTTTTTCAAGTATATATATATTTCGAGATTAAAATTTTATAAAATATCGTAATATTGTAATATATTTGATAATAATATTTGGAAGTTTTCCAAGAGATTGTTATATTGTTACATACTGTTAATTATTATTATACTATACATATTGCTTCTACTATATTCGAATATATCATATATCAAATATGATATGGTTTCCTGATTTTATTCTTTTCTCTTTCTCTATCCTAATTTGCCAAATACGTATATAAACAAAATTAGAAAATTTTATAATTACAAATTTTTACTTCATGAATTTTTTTTTTTTTTTTTTTTGCGTCTTTTGGAATTTTATATTATAAGAATTTGACTTCGTATAATTTTAAATTTACATACGCGATGCCCGATATATTTTGCATCGAATACATTGAATAAAAATATTAAAGACTTATGTGTGATTTATTATTTCATGTCGTATTCTTAATTACGAACATTATTAAGTTTAGAATAAAATATAAAAAGGAAAATTTGAAAACAATAGAAAATCATTATCATTCCGATTAAGATTCAAAATTTACTACTAGTATCTTTTCATATAGTTGTTACACACTGTATTTAAGATTATTTAACGCAAATAAGATAAAAACTTGAATTTTTTATTCTTAGACAAAATTAAATTAGTTTTCGAAATTAACAAATTAAATTTCAAATAATAATTTCTTTTTCTTAGTAATTATTAATTATATTAACATCATTATATCTCATTTCTTCACAATTATACACATATATATTTTCCTCTTGTAAATCATATGACAAAGAATTATTTTTCCAATTCTGAATTCCAATGTGTTAAATTTATCCCTATGACAATTTGAGTTTATAGCTAAATTGAGTTTATACGAATGATTAACGAAAATCCTATCGATATATACATATATATATATATATATACACGTGTTCGTAGTCTATCATTAGAAATACTCGTCCTATCTCACATGTCAAATTTTAATAGACATTTTAGAAAAGTCAAATTTATGAAACATCACAATTGTTTATGTAACTATGCAATACGAAATCGTTTCGAAAATAATTATTATTTTCTTTCAATATTTCTTTCTTTTTTAAATAATTTTTTTCAATTATCTAATGTTTAATTTGTTCAAATTGATTCAACAATTTGTTTTCTTTATAAAAAAAAAATTACAAAGTGGATAATTTTTATAAAACAATTATGAAACAAAGATTTCAAAATTAACAATTGAAAGTTATCTAATAATTGGAGATAAATTTGCATCGTGTTACTTTTCGCAAGCGTAATGTAATGAGCGAATGTGAACGTAAGCATAAGAATATACGAATAAGTAAAAATGAAATGACAAACAAACAAAGGGAAAGAGAAGAGAGGGGGGGAAGCAGGAAGGAAAAGAAAAGTAAAGAAAAAGGGAAGAGAAGGAAAAAGGAGGAACGGCAGGACGAGCACCATTATGCAACAGGAATAATTTAATGTATTAATTCTACGATATGGCAATAAATAATTTGCCATCAATTTCGAAATCAATTATTACTTTTGGCTTTGGTAAAACATTATATAATTGGTTAGATACTTCGATCGAGACATTATTGTCAAAATAAAAAATAAAAATAAAGAAATATAATAAAATGTTATTTTCATTGTTAAATGAAGATTCAATATATATACTTTGAATCAATTGATTTATTCTTAATCTTACCTGTTACAAACATATTCGCATGCTGAATTGAGGATGAATTATCGTTATGTGATATAGTTGATGATGATAAAGGAGAAATTGTGCGACGATAATCTGAATTCCGCGAATTACGAGATCCGTTTTGTAACTGTTGATCAGTTTGAGAACTAAGTTGATGATGTTTATATCGATGATGATGACGATGATGATAATGATGATGATGATGATGATAATGATGATCGTTGCGATAATGACGACGATATCGATGATAATCTTGTTGCTTTTGTGGATGTCCAGAATGTTGATGTCGATCATCATGATAATATTTATTACGATATTGATGAAGGTATTGTTGTGTACCTGTCATTTTTTCGGTACTCTCTTTTTGTTCCAAGTGCATAGCAGCTGGTGGCAACATGATGTTCTTGCAATTATAGCAATTTAAAAATTTCAACAGATGAATTGCAGAAAATATCTCGATCGTAATTTTAATTGGAAATGTAATAATTAGAAATTTCAATGAAGAAATTTATAAAATTTTTCTCAATCGTTGTATTATCTTATTCTGTATCGTTCTTATAATTATGCTTGCGTTACATATCAATTAAAACGATTAACGATATTACGTTTATTTTTATGTTATTAAACTTTTCTTATTTTTCTTGTTTCTTAATGTTTTTGTCAAAATTTAAGTAATGCAAACCAAAAATTCTTGCTCCATATTGAATGTATTATTACGGAAATCAATCATCGATAAGATATTCAATCACCTTAAACATTGTTCTTGTAAGTTTTTCCCTTGTTGATCGACATTATTGCATTGTTGATTATCATTACGAAAATGATATCGATGACGTATTTCAACGTCTGTCACACAATATAACTGCATCTGATTTACTAAAAACTTTATCACTTTCAAACGTTTCTCCGCTTTTCTTCTTATTTCTTCTTTAACGGTCTTAAAAACTTGTTCATCTTCCTTTTCGAATTCGATCATATAAAATAAATAATATATTTTTCTTGATTATTATCGTTTATTTTGTTTAAACTTGTTCGATTGTTCGATTGTCGTAATTAGAATTATTTTCGTTCATAATTTTGATTAAAAATTTATTATATTATTATAGATAATAGGAAAAAAGAAAGAGGAACAAAATTATAAATTCTTCGTTTTGAATTGAAAACACACTTCTAATGTATTTCACTTCTAATGTAACGATTGTAAAACAACAAGAAAATTGGAAACAAAAATATTCTTTGAATTCATCGTATTCAACGTTAGAAATCAACTAAACGCAACTATACAACGTCCACGACGCGACTGGGCCAATCATGTCGGAAGCCGGTATGACAGAGGCATCTGACAACCGACAAATCAAACACGAAAATGAGTGCATGTGCGCGCAGCAAGAAGAAAGAGAGATTTGCGCGCGCGTATCCACTTCCCGCTTCTTGACCTGTCAGCCATTAGACTCTCTCGGTGTAGCCTCCCCCCAATTGCGTCTTTCCCGCCATATAGACTTCGTAAGTATACATCAGAAGCCGTTGGCCGATGTTCCAGTAACGATAGCGTACGTTAAATCCCCTCCAAACAGGTATATGCCTTATTGGCGGGAAACATATTCCTCTATTAACCCATACATAATTCCCTTCAACGTACGAAATATTAAAATGAATTTTAAAAATATAATAATCAGATTAAAAAATAAAATATTGCTATCAGATTGCCATCAATAAAACTTCTTTTTTGAATAATTTAATTCATTATATTATATATTTATTATTATATTTGTATTAATTTTTGAATAATTAATAATTTAATAATTGGTATTTAATAAAATAAATCATTCGTTATAATATTTTGTAAAATTTCAATCCTATAATTGAGATGTAATTTATAAATTCCAGCAAAATAGTAATCGTTTAATATAAATATAAATAATATAAATATAATTATAAAGCGTTATTATAAAAAGTTAATAAGAATTTTCAAAGAAACAATATTTAATTTTTTGAGAAACGAATTTTTATTAATGGAAGAAGAAAATAATTATTTTTAATTTCTCGCAGAAAAAATTAAATTTTTTAATTTTTCATAATAAGAGATAAATTATAATTTACTCTTTTACGTATGATATATATATATATATAATGATTATTTATATTAATTAGAGAAAAGAAAAGAAAACAAAGAGAGAGAGAGAAGAAAAGAAACAAATTTCAACAATTTATGTTAATCGTGAATTACGAAAAAGTGTGGTATTCGTTCAACACACCACTAAAAAGGTAGAGATATGAAATGAGATAATATGAGATAAGGTTACGGGAGATAGAGTATAATCTAAGTATAGAAAAAGCATGAATCGTTTGCACGTGCAGCTATGTAGTTGAAACACAAAATGCGCCACTTCAATATATCTCAAGATATAATTTAGTTTTTTCAAGAATGTTAATTTATACCACTGTTTATTATTTTTCGATAATAAAAACTGTTAAATAAAATATCTCCTATGTATTAAAATTGTTTCCTATTTTCAAAAATAAAAAATTAATAATAATAATAATAATATAAATTCTTTGTATAAAGTACTGAATAGATATATTTTTTTTTAATTTATTTAATATATATATAACATTATAGCATTACAAAAAATATGCCTTTAGAAAAATATAAACGATTAATATATTATGTATTTTTCTTCTTGTATTAATCAAAATCTATAAATTTTTAGAAAAAAATTTTTTCCTCATTTTTTTTTTTATACTTATTTTATGTTATTAATATGATAGAAACTAATTTCATTTTAGTAAAAAATTATTCTCAATTTTCGATGTCATTATTCATCCCTGGATGTCTAGGATAACGAAAAATATATTTTTATCTTATCGACTCAACCCTTATATGACCATTTCAATCGATGATATTTCTAACACGATAAAGTTATCATATTCATTGCTTTTTTTCTTTATTAGTCAATCAGTAAGAAATTGATCCTTTCTCATCATTATCGATATTTTTGTTTTTAAATTGATTAATATTATAAAAAAATTTACACAATTAATGATGGTTGATTTTTTTTTTCTTTTCTCTTAAATAAATTTTTCAATAATCCATATATATATATATATATATATATATATACACACGTATATACACACACGTACGTAATATACGAATACATTTTCTTCTATCCAAACTAGACTGCGTAATACTTTTTTTTTATCCATAATCATCATAGAAACCGTTTAGTATCTCATCCCTAATTACTTTGCGAGTCTTTGTTAGTTTCTTTAAACGAATGTTGGATCGTGCGTTTCACTATCAAATAAATTTGTACTTCTTGTTAACTATCTACCGTTAATACAGATCGACTAAATTGAAAAACAAAATTAACTTTTTCTTAATTATATAAATTTATAATATATATATAAATTTTTAGAAATTTGTTTCAAAATATTATTGATATAGATAAAAATCTTTTTATATGATATTGATACGATTGATGAATACATAACAAAATTTTTCATATAAAATATATATAATTCAAACATATATATGATTCAAATTCAAAATAAGAAAAAAAACAAATTGTTTGTCTTAATCTTTGCATTTAAGAAAAATAAAAATCAGATTTTAAAAGATATAATTGATTATTATCACATATATTTACATCTATATGTGCATATATGTCGGAAAGCTGAAAAAATTTAAAATTAATCGTTTGTTAAACGAACAACGATCAAACAACAATTTTTCAAAATTTTTCGCTAATTTTCATAAGAAGAGATAAAAAATTTCAAATCGATCTATCATTTGAACGAATATACCTTCATCGAATAAATCTTACGCAGAGGTGATACTTTGAGAGCGATATATGACCGATTGTGAACATCAAACCTTCGACATGCAAAGGAACATCGATTCAAGAAGAGAGACGAACATTCTTCATAGGTCAGCAAGCATAGAACGATTTTAGATACGGCCTTTGGGCTGCTCGTGCTTTGCGTTGTAGCATGTCTTCGTAACTATTTCGTCCTAATAATTATTTAATGTACTATTCTTAATCGATATTCTTTTTTTATAGATTTCAAATTAGAAATGAAATAAGAAATTATGTTTTAATTATATAAAAATATCATGATTTGATAATAATTTACAAATTTATACAAAATATTTCACAAGAAAAATTACATTTCGATTATAATTTTTACTACTATTTATTTGAACAATGAATTTCTCTATGCATTTCTTTGATTTTATCGACAATAATGGAGATTACCAAAATTGATGAAATTTTACTTCAAAATATCTTATTTCACCTACGATAGCCTCTATGCTCTTTGTGGCTTTTGACATGATAACCTCTTTCTTTCTCAAACTCAATACACATAATTCAAAGTAAAGAAAGACTGAAAATTGTGGTACTGATAACAGAAAATAAAATAATGTTATGAATGAAATGTTATTCTCTATTAAATAAAAATAAATAATTTAATTAATTAATATATATATATATATATATATTAATATTATGTTAATTTACCTTAATGAAAATTATATGCAATATAATTCATTCATTGATCAATAATATTTTATATTATTAAAATTTAAAAAAATATACATATATGTTTTCATTTTACGTAACATCTAAGTAAAATGCGATATTTTGGTAGATCAGTTTGTCGATTGGCCGGTAAACAGGTATCAAAAACTCTCGGAAGTCATCGAGAGCAACCAAGACACGACGATTAGCGCGAATGGCTGCATCACTTATCGATTACATAACAAGGCAAAGATACTATCACGAAATAACATTATTAATTAAATTAATTTATAAAATATATTTTCTAATTTATTCTTAATGTACTCATTTCACAATTTTTTAAATCTCTTTCATACTTATTTTACATTTCATTGATAATCTAAATACAAAACATATTATGAAAGTGTTAAATTAAATAAAATACTATAATAGTTAATATAATCTACCATAGTAGCATAATATATAAATGCAATTTGATGTAATACGACTCAATAACTATTATATATCAATCAGAGATCAATAATATGAGATCTTTATAAATAAGTAATTAAATTCATAGATAAAAAAAATGTAACAAATTTATGTCAAATTTATTTAACTGAACTATTAAATTTAATAATCTATTTAAATTAAAATGTTTAAATGTATTAAATGATATTTTAAAATTAAATAAAAAAAGTGAAGCGCAATAATTGTTTCTTTAAGATTTAGTATTACTTATGTTACCCATACCATATTACTAGTAGTACTATTATTACTATTATTAGACCTGTTACACAATACTCTCGCGTCTTCTCAAACGAGTTTCGCTGGCCAATGACCAAAGCTAGATAACGTTGTGTATCGCGACCCATTTACCGACTTGCTAATCTCGAACTCTAATACGAACTTGATTTTCCTAAACTTTTATCACTTGGAAATTTTTATTTTCTATTACATATCTAAATAGTAAAAATGTTACTAGTAATTTATATAGCGTGATTATTCATCGGAAAACTTTTCAAATGTCCAATTTCATATTTATCATCATTCATTACATAACAGTAATATAATTACAAAAATATTCTTTTCTTTTTATATATGTATAGATTATGGATAATAGATTTTAATTAATAAATTTTGCATTATTGTAATATTACAGAAGAGTATTATACTTTTAATTTCAAAATTCAAATATAAAATTTATACATATATTTCAATTTTAATATTTCTCCTACATACTCTTTATCTCATGTGTTACATAATTGTAATCACAATGTGAAAATATTAAATTTTAATTCGATTTACTTCTTTTTGTGCTTCCTTTTTTGTAATACTATTTAATACGTAATTTGAATTCTTGAATATATTTTACATGTACTTATATGCATTTTATCAATTTTTAATTATAACAATATATAAATTGTACATTGAATTTTTAAATTCTATTTTTATATATTTATTTTTAATGAGTGCTTGAAATATATATATATATGTGTGTGTGTGTATTAAGAATTGTTAGAATTATTTTGATGAAAGTATATAAATATTTTAAAATTATGATAAAAATTTATTTTAAAAAATAAAACGAAAGATAATGTATAAAATGAATGAAATTAATCATTTACACGTATAATATATTTACATACATATAACATGTGTGCACATGCTATATATATGCATATAGTATATAAGTATGTATATGTATATAATATATATAATATGTACAATATTATTCAAAAAATTTAATAATCTCAAATTAATAAATTTTCAACACGAATTGCAATTTTGTAATTTTTTTTTAATCCGATCTGAAAGTTGTTTCTTTCATAAGAAATAAATTTCTTTATTATATGTTTTTTACTGCATTACCGTTAAACAAATTAAACGGTTTATTATATACGGAATTTTTTTCGCAAAGCATATATAGATCGTATTGAAAAAATAAAGACGTAGGAATTAGTGATCAAACGAGCAAGCGCATAAACATATTCGTATACGTACTGTAGGTGCGCGTGCACACAAAGCGACCGAATAGTCAGACAGCCAGGCAAGCAGGCAAGCATGGAAGGCACGATGGAAAAAGCAGAATGACAGTTGGTAATTATAACGAAGAGCGGATTCCGTGGGGTAAGACTGGTGAGCCCCGTGGAGGTAACGAAGTCCGCGCCGCGGCGCGCCACCACGTGCCTAACTAGCTAGCTGGTTTGCTGACTGCGTGCTAGCTCGGTAGCCACGCGTTATAGCATCGTAGATGATGGCGTCTTGTAATACAATTTTCGACATATTACGAATAAAGAGTTTTATATCAAATAAAACGATAATTTTTAATAAAATTGTAAATTCAGTATAGTATAATACCTTTACAAGTCTAACGATTAATGAATTGATTTACACTCACCAATGCGATGATCCATAATGAAAAATTTGAGGTAGACGTAATGTACACGCGATGTGGTAACGTCCTCGTGGGCTTGAGGTGATTATTCGATACTTGATGATACTGTTAAATAGAAAGAAAGAAACTAGATACAAAAAAAAATAAATACACTCTATAAATACGATCAGAAGTCGTGTCACATTTATAATATAATAGCCACGCAAGCTAAACGAATAAACTTGGAAAAAAACGTACAAAGTTTGACCAGTAATTCGTGGGGACGCGTGCACGAACACGACGAAAAAATTACATGATCGCGCGACACGAGCTAATTCAATTTTTGCCGGTCATCGAATTAGAATATACGAATGATGAATGACAAACAACACCAAAAGATATGCCATGTCCATACCGTAGGACAGTTAACACGCGGCGTGTTTCACGATTTCTTTCTCTCTCACGTTTTCTTCTTCGACTAACTGATCTGTCGTCCGACAACTCACCGGCGTATCTTTGTGTAGTTTCTCTATGTTTCTTTCGTTCACACCGTCGTTTTTCGATCAAATTACTTCCCGTTATAACTAATTTCTTGTTGTCTGTGACAGATAAACACTACGAATGCGGCGGGTTCTCGTAGCGTGTGCGCCAGCGTCAGTAAGATTGACAGTCGGCGCTGATGACAGACAGGTGCGCCCGCCTTCCGGCCTAACAAGTCGGCAACCTACCGTTCTGCTTACGTATCTTTCTCTGTTCGTTCGCATACCCGTCTACCCGCCTTCCCGTCTACCCGCCAAGATCCTTAGCACGTTATGCCATTTATCCTCTCTTTTAACATTTTCCTGCCATCTAGTGACGATTGACCCAAAACATACATACGCCATCTAATTGTACACATCTTATTTTTCCAGTCATTTCAAATAAATAGTTCATGTATCTACTCGTATATTTATTTCAAGTAAATAGTAACATTCAATCATCTTATTTATTTATTTTTATTTATTTCAATTCTTCCATTATATTTGGAACTGTTTACAGAATTTCATTTTTTGTAATGTAATTGTTCTTTTCGAATAACTTTACCGTAATCATTTTGAATTTTTTATTTTTATTATATATATATATATATATATGTATACATGTATTAAAACACGTTTTCATCTTCATTCGTCAAATATATATAAACAATTATAATTATCATGTCATTGGCATTAATTTTTAAAATAATTATGACATGAAAGTTACATTATTTCACGATTGTTATTAAAATTGTATATAAATTTATATATATTATATATATTATTTATATATATTAAATTCAATTTATGAATTGATTTATATTTCATAAAAACAATTTAATTAATGGTGATTAAATAAAATAAGTTATAAAATAATAAGAATATAGGAATAAAAATCACAGAAAGAATAAAAAAATTAACTAATTTTTTTTAATTTGTCATCATTGACACTTATGACTAATCTGATTATGTACGATATATTTTATTTGATATAATTATTATTTGACATATAAGTTATATATGTATATATATATATACTAATTATATGAATTCTAAAAGAAAACAAGAAATGGAGCTTTTTCATATTTTCTTTCTCCAGCATCTATCTGACGAAGGAATTCTCCGTTTATTATTTCTTGTCTGTGCCGCCGTTTCTCTCGATTCAAGCATTCATCAAGATCACGAATTAGTGCTTCACATTTCTCCTGTCCTTTATAAAATCCATATGCTTCCACACATTCAGCTAAGTGCAATTCAAAATCTTTACAAGTTGCGTTGAATTGAGCATGCAATGAAGCTCCAAACCAATTGGTGATTGGACTTTTAAATATAGGTTCCGCGAAAGCATGATATTTTGGTATTTTATTATCCATTCTAAAACTTATATAAAGAATTGAGAATAATATTACTGAGTTTACAATGCTTACACTACATTCTGATATCTCTGATATTATTATTATATATTATAATAAATATAACCTTCTTGTATAGCTTATCTTATTTATTGGAAATATGTATATACTATAAATAAAATGTACTATATAATAAGTTACCTAATAAAATACGTAATGCGTATATAATAAATCAATTCTATTTAAACGAATAATTACACTTCGAAACAAGCCGAAGGCTACTTTCTAAAACTTTCTGTTGTGTAACATGTAACAACATCCTATATCGATAATTTCGCTACCATCGCCATCTATGTATTATGTATAATAAACGTATAAAAAAAAGTGAATTAATATAATTATAATAATAAATTAAAATATTTTATTATTTAAAAATTGATATAATTAATGATTTTGTAAAAAATTAAGAAGTAATATTTTATTTATATTACAAAGTATTTGGAATTCAATTTAAAAAAGTAATATATCGTATTTAGTTATATTCTTTTATTAAAAAAAGAACAAATTATTTTTTGTCATTAATGAATATTATTCTTAATCATTACAATAAAAAATCTGTTATCTCTTTTTTTAAATTCGCAATTTGTAATTCCTTTTGAATTGCATCGAGTATGAAATTAGGTAAAGTATTATTCATTTTTTTTACATTTAAAAAAATTAGTCTACAGCTATAACATAAATATTTTTCAATCATTGATTGTTTTAAAAAGGAATTACAAATATCAGCTTTACATTGACATCTTTTGCTTGTAAAAGCATTTACACATTCAGATTGTTCATTACTTGATTGTTCACAAATATTTAGCGAATTCATAGTCATCATATCTAATGGAATGTTTGTAATTGTAGAAACTAATTTAGAAAATAATTTTGCTTGTACAACTGATAGCTCTTCTTTAGACAAATAATCTGAATCTTTAAAATTTAATTCACATAATACACAAATATTATTGGCATCAATTTTATTAGTAATAATCTTTGTATCACTATTTATATTATTAAGTGGTTCCACATTTGTAGCTAATTTTTCACTTGTACGATATATTGTAGATACAGTACTATAAAATTCAGAATCTAGTTTATAAACAAAATTTTTTGCAATATTCCGTATAGATGCAGGAAAACAGAAATCATATTTTTGAGGATTAAGAATTGGATGTAATTCGCAACATTCCACATATGCAATTATATCATCTTTTGTAAAATCTCTAAGCGGTCTAAGTAATTTCACATCACTGTATCTTTCATCAGAGAAAGCAACGTTAAAAGACAATTGGGCACCTCTGCCAGTCGATACATCTCCAAGAACTTTTATCGCCAGATCAAGAGATGTATCGGCAATGAAAATTTTATTACAGTTAAGTTTACGAGCTGCAGATACAAGTAATTTACGTCTTAACTGTTGTAATAATTCATCCCTTGCTGTATCATTTTCTAAATTATTAAAAATTTCTTGTAACATTGTGTCTTCTTTAGTAGTATTCATTAATGGAACATTTATTGATTGTAACTCTTTATAAGTAGTATCAATTGTGCATTTTGATAACGATGAAATATACATAGTTAATTGCAAACTTTCAGCTTCTTTAGCTAATGCATTTCGAATTGATTCTCTTTCTTCGATCGAACGTTTCTTTATTATACCATCTATATAAAAAAAAAATAAAAAATATTATATTGTATTAAACATATGTTTAATAATTTTTTTCCCTAAATCTAACAATACAAATGATAGAAAATATTTACCATCTATATAAAGAACTTTAAATGGAAATTTAAGCTTTTTGGAAATTGATTTATTAACATCAGCTGTAATAAGATGTAAAAGTACAGTTGAATTTGCTTTCCCTGAATGAGCGATGAGTACAGTATCGTTTGCACGCACTGATTTGGATTTGCCGAGAGTTGCTCTAAACTTATGTATCAATATAGTTAAAAAACACATTTTACAATACTGATTTTTATTTTTTAAGAAAACTTGCACTTCTTGACAACCACATTTTTTGCAGAAAGGCATAGTATTAGGTATATCCATAGTATCAATAAAAGAAGAAGTGATTCTATAAAAAAATTTAAGGATTGCATAAGCGAAAAATTATAAAATAGATAAACTATTCGTTATCTCTTAAAATTATAGAGAAATTGTAATAACAATACACTTACGCATTTTCAGTTATATTTTCTATCTCAAAAGTATCAAAAGTACATTTAGACGTATTTTTCGTACACATTTTGTTTGCTTTTGTTATCTATAATGTGAATAATTACTCAATATATAATTCTAACCATCATGTCTCTGAGCAAACTATAAATTTCAATTGCTTATAAATAATAAATTTTTTTTAGAATAACAATAAAAACATATAAATATTTATATATTAATAAAGAAAATTTAGAAAAATTTCAAAAAAAATCATTATACATTCATAAAAATTATTATACGATTGTATCTATAAATAATTATTTCGATTTATTATTTCATTGGTACGCTTGAACAGAGTTACCATTATCATTGACACAAATTATTGATCGGTATTTATTATATTAGTTATTCATAAGTATAATTGTTTGTTTATCAATTGTCTAAGTTTATATTTTTGTAAATATTATAGGTATTATTTCTTTTAATTTATATCAAAAAACTGCAAAAGTATTTAAGAGGTTATGTATTGTGAATTTCAAAAAATTTCAAAAATAATATAGCAGAATAATTAAAAAAATTTAAACAATTAATAAAAATGTTTGGAATATTAAATCTAGCAAATATTACTTTTAGGTATTCATACACTAAATAATTAACATTTAATATCTCGATAATTTCTATTTATATTATTTACAATTACAGTTGCTTATTGACGCAGGTCCTCATTATATTCAATTAAAAATTCACGCAATATCTCCTTATACAAACATCCTTTATATTTTCGAGCAACGGAGATACTTTTGTAAGTATTATATTACCATATTAATCATATTAAAATTTTATTTTTTGAAAAAGTTTTAATTACTATAATTATTATTATTATATTTGTTTGTTTTAGAGGAGAACCCTTAAAAAAGAGAAAAAAAATTGATCCTGCAATTATTAGAGCTAGAGAAGAAAGAAAGAAAAAGAAACTACAAAAAAGAATTCGTAGTTTAGAAAAACATGCAAATCATATGAAACCAATTTTTGAAATCGATACATTGGCCAAATTACTGCAAAATGAGTATGTCCAGCATAATAATAAAATATATATCACATGTGATTATGTATAGAAAGATTTATGCAATAATACGTTATATATGGAAATATATGGAAAGTATTTATGTAAAAATAAATATTTTTTAGCAAAAGACCTTGTCATTTGACATCATTATCAGAGGAAGAAATAGAAAAGAGAAGATTATTAGAAAGAGAATGGATTAAATACAAGCAAGATCAATGGTTAAAAGATTTACGCATTATAAAATCTATGCTAATCTCACAGAAAACAGCCTTGGAAGAATTAAAAGCTGTCTCAAAACAACTTTACAAAGAAGCAATCGAAGTAAACATTTATATTCTACCATTTAATAAGAAAAATTTACTAATTAAATAATTATATATATATATAATATTTATATATAAATGTTTTAAATATATATAATATATATTTAATATATATATATATAAATGTTTTAAATATTTTTTTTTCAGTTTGATGATTTATATTTACCATATGATGTAATTGGACCTGTATATACTCCACCAATAAAAAATTACAATAGTCCTGATGGTGAATACATAGAAACCACCATTAAATATGTAGGAGAATAAGTACACAAAATAATGGAACGTGTTGGATCATTAAAAAAAAGAATTATTTTAAATAAAGGATCATAGGAGTGAAAAAAAGAGTAAGACTCTCGTTAAAACTTCTATAATTAGATATAATTCCCATTAATTATCGATTTTCCGATTATTACCAATCTACAAGTTTGCAAATTAAAATTATGTAAATTTAATAAAAAAAAATTTAATTTTTTAATTTAAATAAAATACAAGATTGCAATATTATAAATACATTAGATTATTACTTATTATTTTATGTTACGATTATACGACGAGAATATTTTATATTAATCGACGTATCGATATTCATAAATAAATACAAATGTAATAATTTATTAATAATTTAATTACTTTTTATTAATATATTTGTATAAATATTTATCGGTTAAAAAAGTATTTCCGTAAAAATGGATATACTTCGATTAATTTACTCTTATATTTATACGTCAGTTATCTCCTTTTAATAATTTAAAATATCTATTTTGTCTCTAATATAGAATAAATAATTATATAATAATAAGACATTATTAGGAAATTTATTTTTAACATGTGTGTTTATTTAAACGTAGCATAAAGCTAAAATAAATTTTATGAAAATTTTAATTCTCTTTTACATACGGGACAAATATTACCAGTCTTGAGACATTGACGTAAACAATCTGCATGAAAAAGATGACAACAAGGTGTTATTCTTGCCTTAAACATATCGCAAAGACAAACGGCGCAAACATCATCAAATTGTTTAATTTCTTCGAGTGTTGCTTTTCTATAACGATTCAATATTTCGCATTCAAGTTTTAACGCAGGGCCCGAAATTTGTAAAAGATCTTTTAATCTTAAATAGATATTCAAATAGATAGCTATCAATAAAAGTTTCCAGGATGTTATTCGTACGAGTAAAATTAAAATAAGAAAAGCAGATGCACTAATGGTAAATGATTTTAATATTACCGGAGCATAAAGCTCTTCAAGATTTTCAAACATCTCCAAATGAAGAAACTTCAAAATCGATGGAAACATCTCGGCGAAGATTTTCTCTGTTGCCAAATAATAAATCCATGTTATCATCGTGTAAGTTGTTGATGGTCTGTAACAGCAATATATATCGTGTATGCTGTGTGTGCACGCGTGTATGTATATATATATATAT